CAATCCCTAATGGTTGCTCAAACCGTTAGGTGAAAGGCCAGTGTGAAACTTTATATGATGAGTCAGGCTAACAATCCCTCAGCCTACTGATCAATTGTAAAATCACAAAAGAAGAGACCTCAGACATTATGTACCTCCTGATGTAATGCAACATTATGTTCAATGAAGTAGTCTTGCGAAAAAAAATAGAACCCATATCTGACTAAGGCTCTAGATTTTAGTATGGGACATAGAGAACAGAAGAATATGTTTAACTTTGGAAATGCATTTAGCAAGATCCAGAATATGGTAAATCTTATAGGAAAAATAATCTGACTTCCTCTATATAAATAACAATAAAAGGGGAGAGAACCTAGAGATTTAAAAATGCTTCAAAGGCATATGAACAAAATGCTGAGTATGTAATTTGCTTGGATTCTGAATACAAATCAAGTGCAGAAAAGAAGTTATGCTGCAATTGGAAAAATCTGAATATCATTAGATGAATGATGATTTTAAGGAATTATTGTTACTTTTTTAGGTGTGATGATTGTATTGTGATTATTTTTTAATGAGTCATTATTTTTTAGAGGTATATATTGAATTATTACAAAAGAAAGTATCTTATTTCTGTGTGTTTTTTTTTAAATATCTTTTATTGGTTTTTTACAGAGAGGAAGGGAGAGGGATAGAGAGTTAGAAACATCGATGAGAGAGAAACATCGATCAGCTGCCTCCTGCACACCTCCTCCTGGGGATGTGCCCGCAACCCAGGTACATGCCCTTGGCCGGAATCGAACCTGGGACCTTTCAGTCCGCAGGCTGACGCTCTACCCACTGAGCAAAACCGGTTTTGGCCTTATTTCTGTTTTTAAAACACACAAAAATAGTCAAGGAGGGGATGTGGTAAAGGTGCCTGGGTAAGCAACATTGGTCGGGTGCTGCCCACTGCAGCATGGACACATGGGGGTTTATTATATAGTCTCTCTACTTTTGTGTTTATTGGTCATTTCCCATAAGAAAAACTAAAACCTAAGCTTCCCCAGAGTTTTCAGTATTATGCTTCCCTGCCAGAATATGTCTGTGGTAGGATTACCACCTGTGAAGTAAAACCAACAGCTTGCCTTCCATGAACTGACAGTGGGCAACCTGCAAGTCTGTGCTACTTAACTTTAATGTGCCCCACAACTGAGATACCCTGAGGCCCTTTTCCGGAAGACTGCATTGTTTATTTAGTAACATGTACGTGGAAGTTGGGGGCAAAAAACTAGTTTCTTTTCTAGTCGCTTTGTAAAAACGAAGAGGGAAAAGGGGCAAAGCTAGTTTAACTCGGGCCTTGCTGCTTCTCATTGAAGCAGGTAGGAACAACAACAGTAACAGCTAACACTTCTGAGCGCAAGTCACTGTGCTAAGCCAGCTCCATTGCATCCAACAACACTCTGAGATAGGTACTATTATTATCCCCATTTCACAGCTAAATAAACAGAGGTTTAGAGAATTGAAATAGCACCCTTTTTCCACCCATGAGCCTGCTAAACCCACTAGATCAGCGGTTCTCAATCTGTGAGTCGCGATCCCTTTGGGGGTCGAACGACCCTTTCACTGGGGTCGCCTAAGACCATCAGAAAACACATATATAATTACATATTGTTTTTGTGATTAATCACTATGCTTTAATTATGTTCAATTTGTAACAATGAAAATACGTCCTGCATATCAGATATTTACATTATGATTCATAACAGTAGCAAAATTACAGTTATGAAGTAGCAACGAAAATAATTTTATGATTGGGGATCACCAAAACATGAGGAACTGTATTAAAGGGTCGTGGCATCAGGAAGGTTGAGAACCACTGCACTAGATAGGTTTGCTTCCTACTCTGTAGCCTTTAATTCTGTTCCTTCAGACTCATAATTGCAGCTGCCACATTTGAGCGCCCACTATGTTCCAGTAATTTGTCACTTACAGCAATTCACTTTCATCCTCACTCAAACCCTGGGAGTTGGGGGGTCCTATCCCCTTCATTTCTTAGATGAAGAAACCGAGGTTCAGAGAAGTAACCTGCCTAAGACGACAATTCCAGCAATGGATTAGGGTTTCAAGCAGACCCCAAAGCCTGCCTCTTAATCGCTACCCTGCTATCTAAGGCTCAAATGGTTCCTCCTCTGCCCCCCACTATACTGCTTGTTTCCTCACTTTTGGTTCCAATGCCATGATGTCATGCAAGCTTATTGAGGGTAGGGATGGTGTTCATTCAGCAAATACCTGTCAGGCACCTATGTCCAGGCACCTATGTCCAGGCACCAAACCTTCCACAGAGCCTAGCACGCGGTGCTTCACAACTGTCATCTGAACAGCATCACAGTTCTTAAGATAAGGGTGAGACAAACCACTATTTACAGTCAATATTTTAAAAATATAGTATGTAATTATTCCTCACCCCACCCCAATTTTTACCTAAGTAAAACAGTATCTATTACACTGGAAATCATTGTTTTGGGTATGTTACAGCCAGAGCAAATGTAAAAATTTCACCAGAACTGGCCCATGGTGCAAAACCCTGACAGTAATGTGGTATGGGGGGCAGGTTAGGGTCAGAAACCTGTGACATTTTGAGGCAGAGAGAAGCCAAGAGGCTCTTAACCATGTTCTTTCTCTGGAGTTAGCACTTCTCTTCTCGATTCTTTAAAATTATAAATAGCCACTCTAGCCCTTTTTAATGTAACACTGCTGAAAATACATAATTGTTCAAAGTGGAAAAGGGAAAAGAATCACTCTTCATTATTTAATGCAAATGAACCAAATTGGAAAAATTCCATGTTTCCTCCTCTGAAAAATCTATGTCTCTTATTTTCACCATTCTCAGTCCCTTGTTTTATATCATTTACACTCAATTCAGAAAATGCCTGTCTAAATTCGCTTTCTTAGCTTAAGTTACTAACCCCTTGTTCTTGTATTTGACACTAAATCAAATAGCCTTGAAACAATTATCCTCTCTATTCCCTTCAGAATTGTCTATACTTTAATGAGTTCCCACTTAATCTCCTCTTTGCCAAAGAATACCACTCTGAATAGCTAAGATCCTTAAGTCCCCGTGTGGCTCCCTCTGCCCCCTGTGGTACCTTCTCCATTTCTATAATATCCTTTTGTAATAAGTCTCTGGAACTGTGCATAGTATTCCAAATGTGGCCTCGCTAGTCCTCACAAAGAACCTGGATAATTCCCTGAATTTATAGTCAATCCTCTTCCTAAGCATCTTCAAATGGGAGCTTTTACACTGTCTTTATTGCCATTAAACTCTGAAAATTTAAAATGCTGAGTTTCCTTCCACTCCCATTTTATCCATCCAAATTTCTAGTTTCCAAATGCACTAGGGAATTCTGGACCATTTTCACAATTAAATATATACTTTTTAAAAATGCATATTATATCAGAGAGTAGGAGGTACAGACTTTCTTTGGAGAGCCAGTGACTAAATAGAGGATCCTTCCTTTGGGAGATTAACACTGGGTTTGTTTGCATAGACCCCATCCCTTACTCCTCCCTAGTGCCTCCTTCAGAGGACACATGGGTCTACGTTTGAAGACCAAGATGGAGTGGAAGAGAAATAGCATAGGCTACTCAAAGATGTACATTCTTGAGTAGAACATTTGGTGAACGAGGTCTTTGAAAAGATCTCTAGGGGCCAAAGAATACAGATGCTTCACATGGTTTTGCATCTAATCTCAAACAGGCACATCTGCGCACACACACATACACACACATACATAAGTGCACACACTTTCTATATCCCAGTTAGTCATTCTAAAACATGATCTCAGCCCTCTTTGGGCATCAGTCTTATGTGGGAGACAGATATTAATGGTATGGACAACTAATGGAGTATACAAAATGAAATAAGCTTTTACAGGAGCCTGATCCAGTCTGGGGGGAGTAGGACAGCCTCCCCTAAGGAAGTGACACTTGAACTGACATGGGAATATGAGTAGAGTTCTCTAACTGGCTTGAAGGTGAGGGTGGGCTGAGCATTCCAGGCAGTGTGAACTACTTGTGCAAAGGCCTTGTGGATTTTTGGGAAAATGAAGCAATGCCAGTTTGGCTGAAGAGCAGAGACTGAATTAGAATGGTATTAGAAATGCTCAAGATAGGTAGGGCCAGACAATGCAAGGCCATGGTAAGGATGTTTTTTCCTATGAGCAATGGGGACCACAGAAGGATATGGATTAAGGGAGTGTTTTGAAAGCAGATTTGTGTTTTGAAACGTTCTCCTAGGCTGGCTCATGGAGAGTGGATGAGGGTGTGGCAAATACCTGTGATATACTGTGTCACATCCCTCCGGCCACCTGACTTGGTGGGCAGTTCCATGCACTAATGCCAGTATCCCACACTGAACATGTGGGAAGGGTCTCTACACTCTGCTTTCTCCTGAGCTGCAGAAGGATGCTCATCAGCAGACAGGTATACACCAGACATGTCCCTACACGCAAGCCCAACCAATGAGGGACCAGATGAGTGGATAGATGCTCCAGTCTCCCCCTCCTCTGGAACAACAGTTCTGAGGCACACTCTGCATGGCTCCTCAGAGGATCCTCAGCGGGACTGAGCCTCAGCTGCCAACCATAGTAGCCAACTATTTTGCAAACATGTATTGCTTTCTTCCTTCACTACCTTACTTTCTCCTCTACTTCACTTCTGCTTCCTGCGCTCGCCTCCCAAGTCAGCTACCTATACCCAAGTCCTGGTCTCAAGTCTGCTTTGGGTGGAATTGAAACCAAGCCAGAGAGTGCTAAGTGGATGGAACTGCAGCCTTAAAGATCTAGCTGTGAAGCTGCTTATGTAATGGAAAACCAAACAAAATCCAAATTGCTTTGTATGGTGTTCCGGTCATCTGCTGCTGTGTGATGAATCGCCCCAAAACTTAGTGGCTTAAAACAACAACCATCATTTTGCTATTATTTACTCTCACAGTTCAAGTGGTTGAGAAAGCTCAGCTAGAACGTTATTGCTCGGGGTCACTCACCTGATTGCAGACGGAGTGGCTAAGGATGGCGTCCTCTTCAGGGCTTCCTGACTCATATGCCTGAAAATTGATGTTAGTTGCTAGTTGTGATTTAGCTGAAAAACCTACACATGGCCTCTCCACCTGGTCTGGGCTTCCTAACAGCATAGAGACTGGGTTCCTAGAGCAGGCATTCCAAGAGAGAGTGCCAGAAGGAGCTGTCATCTGTTCTAATCCAGCCTCAGAAGTCACACAGCATCATTTCTGTGGCATTCTATTCATTCAAAGTGAGGGACTAAGGCTAGCCCATATGTAAGGGAGGGAAATGAGATTCTGCATGTTAATGGGAGGGGTATCAGAGAATCTGATATGGGAACATGCTTTGAGAGTGGGCCCTCTAAATGAATTCCCAGCCTAGTTTTATATCTGTTGTCAAGACACCCATAAGAGAGTATTTAACCTTTCATGGAATGCTTCTGTGAGAGTTTGATATTTATGCAAGACATCAGGACACATGGCTGAATCTGTCTCTCCAAACTGCTCCTGCTCACTATGGGGGAGATTGCTGCTTGGTCCTAAAGCAGGGAGGGAAGAATTGGAGCTTTTAGTTTATCCAAGAGTGAGGAGTATCAGGGAAATCAGCCAGCTTCTTTCCTATGATATAGGCTGCTTAATCAAGAGAAAGTAGAAGAAAAAATATATTAATGACATATTCAAGTTTTTGAAATTGAACTTAGAAATAGCCTTGGTTAATGATTTATTTTTCAACATGAAAATTCTCTTTATATTGACTATTTTGCTCTCACAAATGTCAAGCCATTTATTCTATGGTTAAGCTGCCCATATTTTCATGAAAATATTTCCTTTTAAATGTTAAAAGATATCAACCCTGAAATCAATTCATTTTCTTCTTGTGCTAAAAATGAGAATATCATAGCAGAACACAGTCTAATTGATGCTAACAGGGATCAGTGGGGAAAAAAGGAGACCCTAAGTCTTCTATTTGATTTTCCTTTTAAGACTCGCAATTGAATAATAGTAGCTATTTTGAATTCATCTATGCTCATTGACCTAACTTGTCAGAAATCAATTAATAATCAATCAATATGTTCTTTGAACTATGCAATGAATTTGAGAACACTCAATTCAAATTCTAGTATGATCACAGTGACCCTACTCCAGCCACTTATCCTTAGTTAAATTGCTTTTCAGTTTCTTCAGCTGTCAATAATGGCACTGATGCTTTTGCCGTCACAAAAATAAGTTGATTTGCAAAGCATAATCCCTAATGTCTAGTTGTGTTCTCTTGATATTCTCTGTAATTCCAGAAGTAGCTACGAGGGAAAAAGAAAAAGGCAGTGTAGATTCAACTTGTAGATTTACTCTGACTCATGAACACTGATGTCTCAGATATCATATAGGTAGTTGGGTCTTTTCCATTAAAAAAAACCCACCCTATTTATAATTTAAGACAACTACTGGGTAACAAAATACCTCAAAATTTAGTGGCAAAGAACAATACTTTATTTTAGTTTTATATGCATCATGATGTTGTGGTGAGGAATTCAGACAGGACAATGAGGATGGCTCATCTCAGCTTTATGATGCCTAGGCCCTCAGCTGGGATAACTTAGAAAACTAGGACTTGGAAAGCTGGTGGCTGACTGGGGCTTTGTCTCTCTCTCTCTTCCTCCCTCTCTCCTTCAAGATACAAAACTGAATTTGTTGCTCCACCTATTCTTTCCATACAGCTAGTCTGGGTTTGCTCACAGTATGAAAGTCTCAGGGTAGTTACATTTCTTACGTGACAACTGAGAGACTGTCTCTAAAAAAGAGTATGCCTATGAACAGAAACCAGAAGATAGAAGTTAAAATGTTGTCCCGAAGTAACACAGTGCTAACTCCATTATAGTCTATTGGTCAAAGAAGAATCCACACAGATTCAAGAGGAAGGACAACAGACCCCATGCATCAACAGGAAGGGTTTTGAAGAATCTAAGCCATCTTTAATACACCACACTTAATTACATTCAACTATGCTTTACAATGTAGCAGGTACTCTATAGCTTCTGATAATGGAGGAGAAGCCCCTATTGGACTAAGCCTTTTGTTATCTTTGACTCAAAGATAACAACTGTGAACACTGGACAAAATATAAACAAATACCTAACTGGCACTGAATAGCAACCAAAAGCAGACACTGGAAGGGAGCCAACAATTGGAGGAAGGAAAGGCATAGGTGAATTTTTTATGGTTTTTTTACTTATGAGCAGGTCCTAGTCCATGCTGAGAAGGGCAGCTACCACTAGAATAGAAGGTCTGATGTCCTACTGGCATAAAAGAATAAGAGGAAATAATTCAGAGGTACCACAGCTGCCTAATAAAGAGAGAACCTCAAATTTTGTGTATAAACTCTGCCAAAGTCTCTAGCTGACCACTGATCTACTCATATATAGGGCAGACTGCAAGCAGTCCAGGTAAGACTGAAAGTGCTGAATGAGATTTCAGCCGCTGTCTAGCCAAGTTATGGGCCTGTTTTATTAAAATAAAAAGCAATAATTTTCAGAAGGGTAAAACAGAATCCAGGGTCTTTATAGTGTGTCACTCAATGTCCAGAATATAATCCAAGTGTATAAATACATTAGAAAATGTGATCCAGACTCAAGAGAAAGTGAAATCATTGAGGATCAACCCAAAGATATCCCACATATTGAAATGAGCAGGCAAGAAGTTTAAAACAGTTATTATAACTATATGCTCAAGGACATAAAGGAACATAGCTTTTATGAATGAACAAACAGGAAATCTCAGCAGAGAAATAGAAATTATAAAGAAAGAACCAAATGGAAATCTTAGAAATGAAAAATAAAATATCTAAAATAAAAATTCACTGGTTGAGCTTAGAAGAAGAATAGAGATAACAAAGGGAAGAGTCAGTGAACCCGATGACCAATCAACAGAAATGATTCATTCTGAAAAACAGAGAGAGAGAAAACAAACATGAACAGATCCTTAGAAATCTGTGGAACAATAACAGAAAGTTTAACATATATGAAATTATAATCCCAAAAGTTGAGGAGACGGGGAATAGGGAAGGAAAAATATTTGAAGAAATAATGACCAAAATCTGGTGGAAGTTATAGATTTACAAATTCAAGAAGCTCAGTGATTCACAAAATGGATAAAAATTATAGTCAAACTTCTGAGAAAATGAGATAAAGAGAAAAATCTTGAAAGCTGCTACAGAAAAATAACAAAGAAACAGTAATAAGAATTAAGACTGACTTTTGTCAGAAACAACAAAGGCCAAGAGAAATCTTGAAAGTGCTGAAATAAAACCATCACTGTCAACCCTGAATTCTATATCCAGTAAAAATAGTCTCTAAGAATGAAGAGAATATAAAGACAAAAACAATAGAACACCAAAGGAAATGATACATTGCTAACTCTACTTGAACTTATTAATAGTTAAATTTGGGTATAAATATATATTTTGTCAAGCCCTATTTCTGCCTCCTGTGTGTCAGAGCATTGCAAGCTTATTGACTAAATAGTAATAACGAGCTATAATTCTGTGCAAATACTCTGTGCCAGGATCCGTCTATGGATATTACATTTAATCCTGATCCTTATCACCAGTTGTGGCTGTTATTATCGGGATAAAATTGCAGATGAGAAAATAGTCAGAGAAACTAATTACCAGTAATGTGTCAAGGTCACACAGCTAGTTAGTGTGACCCAGGCCCAAGTAGAGGTCCTTGCCGACTTGAATAATATTTCATGGACATTTATATATAGCTTGAAAATTGACAAAGTCCCTTATGAACCCCTTCTAAAATCTTTCTTACACTATTTAAGGAGCTAACTTTTTATTTTAAAGGCAAACATAAAAACATTTCGGGTTAGGACCCTGATAGTCTCTCCATTGCCTGCAAACGCCTGCTTTCTCCCTCTCCCCACATGCTCCTTCCTTTAGCAATAGAGAACACCCAACAGCCCACAACACAGCTGCTGTTTCAGCTGGCACAGAGCTGCTCGGCTAGAGGCTGTTTCTTCCAGCCTCCTTTGAAGCTAGGCGTGGGCCATGTGATCCATTTGGGGCAAATGGGATATGAGTGGACACAAGTATGACCAGTCAATTTCTGGTCAGGTTCTTAAAGAAAAATACACTTGCCTTAGACCTTCTATTCCCTCCTTTCCCGAGGGCTGGAAAATGCAACTGTGAGCCTCTGCTTTGGACCTGGAAGTGGAAGCCACGTGAGAAAGGCGCAGGAGAGCCAGCCCTCAAAGGGCTGTGCGCCAGCCCTCAAAGCTGCTCTGAATGGCTTACTGCTGGACCAGGCATGGAATACCCATATAACAATGTAAAAACAACAACAACAGAAGGTTAAAAAATTTCAAAGGCATTTATTGAAAACCTGGCCATGTGGCCATCTCTGTGTGTTCCCGTTTCTAAAGTAGGGTGATCATTTTGCTTTCCTCACAGGGCTGGCCTGAGAGCAGAGCAAGATAATGCGTATAAACATTAGCACAGTGCCTGGTACAGAGCAAGAGCCCACACATGCTACATTTTTTGTGTGTCATGGGCTAGATTTGAATATAGACACAGCCTTTCCTTTATATACTGGGTGCCCTCAGACGCTGAAGAGAATACCTGGTTAATGAATGCTGTTGATCTAAGAACAGAGACAGAGGAATTTGAAGATGCTGGGACTAGTGCTAATGATTTCATAGGGTATTTTAACCTTTATTTGACAACCCTTCTTTCTTAGCATTTTCAACTCTTCATCTCCCTTAAAAGAATGGCTGGTGTTTTATAAAACATTTTCTTCTATAGTTGTGAGGGATATATATATATATATTCAGGATTATTCTTAGAAAATTAATCTCTCATTTTGAGGCCAGCTCACTACTAGATTACTAGGATGATAAACTCCTATTGGCAAAAGAATACTATTTTCTTACAAAATTACTAGAGCTTCCCCTCCCTAATCTGAGCTTTTCTCAATTCTCTTTCAAAAGAATATGTAATGCATTTAGAAGGTGACAGCATGGTGTGACTGCTCAACATTCAATTCATGTCTTCAGCACCAACAGAGGAAAGGTTAGAGATATAAGGGCAGCCCCTTGTTTATTGCAATTTCACAGCAGTGGCAAATGCCACAGCACTCGGGCTGGCAGCAGGAATTAGTTAAAACCTGGCAGCAAAGCTTCCTTTCCCCTCACTGCTTCATATCTTTTCAGAGTGGAGATATATGTTAATTTGTGAAAATGAGGACTAAAAGAAGGACAAGGAGAGGAGGGCTTGGGAGAGCTAGGGCAGGGACGGGAGCCAGATTAGTAAATGAGGAGGAGAAACCAGAGAGAAGGAATGAGGAAAAGGGAGAGAAGGGAAGAAGGGGCAGAGGATAGAGCAATGTACAGTATGGGTAGAGGTAGACTTGCCTTTTAAAAGAAAGGTAGGGGGTGGGGAGTAATGCACATGAAGAAGAGGAGTCATTTCAATTTTCTCTCTCTGGCAATGACATAAGAAATGGGGGAGATATATAGTAATAATCTCAAAACTGATAAAGCAGGCAAGTCTGAGTCTAGACTTACTTTTTAGCATTTGGAAAAATCAAAAGAGCACTATTTGTATCAATTCTAAGGTAGCCATTTCCCTGCCTCTCCTCCTCCCCCATCCTGCTTCCAGTGACATGTTATTTCCAGTTCCCTTAAGTCTAGGGATAAGTCAGAAACTCCAACTCCTCAACCCTAACACCAGCTTTCCAGAGGGCTTCGTTACCCTGGATTGGCCAGGACATGGGGATGGTTTAAGTGAAGGAGGTGCTGGGAAACTGGGTCATATGTTGGTGGAACCCTTGTGCTATGGGGCCCTGGTGTTCAGAATAAGATGTGGTCCATACTAGTACAGTGATGGCGAACCTTTTGAGCTCGGCGTGTCAGCATTTTGAAAAACCCTAACTTTGGTGCCATGTCACATATAGAAATTTTTTGATATTTGCAACCATAGTAAAACAAAGACTTATATTTTTTATATTTATTTTATATATTTAAATGCCATTTAACGAAGAAAAATCAACCAAAAAAATGAGTTTGCGTGTCACCTCTGACACGCGTGTCATAGGTTCGCCATCACTGTACTAGTATATACAATGGAATACTACTCAACCATAAGAAAAGATGAAATATTGCCACTTGCGACAACATGGATACTTGAGAGTATCATGCTAAAAATCTGTATAATTTTCTTAACCAATGTCACCGTGATAAATTCAATTAAAAAAAAGGGGGGGGCCTCTTATACCTGCTAGAATTCCCCCATTACCTGAGGTCGCTGCCTCTATGCCAAAGGCCTTGCCAGTCCTGCCTGGGGGGGGGGGGGGGGGAGGTGGAGGGGAGCTGCTCAGTTGCTACAGAAAAGGCAGGGTTAACTTGCCTCTCTGTCATTCCATGGTAGGAAAAAAGTAAAAGAAAAATGCAAAACTTGAGAGAAAAAAGGGACTTGAAAACTCAAGGATGACAATAGACTGTGAAATCTGAACCCCAATTTCTAGTCATTTCTCTTACTAATTCTGGCTCAGCAATTATGAAGCGATTGCCTTTGGAACAAACAATTTCTTTCAACAACTATTCCAGGTTCAAGAAGACCTAGAACAGGGGAGCATTAATGTTTAGGTAGGCACATATGGCTCTATCTTCTTTCCCAGTTTAAAAGAATTGTATTTACAAAAGCTTCTGATGAACAACTTTGGTTAGTGTCTGGGTTGGCTTGTCACGTGGAGCACTGGTACCCACACTGGGGCTGGGTGACTTCATTCCTCCACCCTTCCAATGCCTTACCTTTGAACAGGCCAGCCCCTTCTTTTACTTCCCTCTCATGATTCAATTCCCTTTGCAAAACCTGAAGAAAGCCAGGAAAACGCCTTGTGTGCAGCTGGAGCCTCAGCTCTGACACCACCGGAAGGCGAATCCAGACCACCTTTCATCAGCCGTCTCCCTCCAGCAGAAGGACTGTCAGAGGCCAAAGTGCTTTCACCAGCTCCAATCACGCCAGACTCATTCCCAAGAACCTACCAAGGAAATTGCTCGACTCCCCACCAGTGGCTTGAACCTTTCACTTCCATTTGAGACAGATTTGAGTTGACTTGTCAAAGACTGACATATAGTTTTCCATTGAATTTAAAAGAAAAAAAAAAAAACACGCCAAGCTGTTGACTACTTCCTCTATGGTATGGTGTTGAGTTTTAAGTGTTGTTTGCTAATTTCTCATACCTGTTCCCAATATAAATAATAGAAATCTTTTGGAAAACCAGTCATCAGCTAGTAGTGAACGGTTTTATATAGAAAGAACCCATTTGTCACTAGGGATGAAGGCAGCATAGTATTTTGGTTATAAACTCAAGGTCTGGAGCCAGATAACTTGAGTTCAAATCTCAGCTCCACCATTTACTACTTCTGGGATCCTGGGAAAGTTATTTAATCTATGCCTCAGCTTCTTCAACTATAGAACACGAGCATTAATAATAGCATGCATTTTGTAGAGTTGTGAGGATTAAATAAGCTCACAGTTATCCGGCACATAGCAAACACTCTACTTGTATTAACTATTATTATTACTAGGGGCCCATGCACAAGTTTGTGCACCTTGAAAGGAACTGTGGGCCGCGAGGCTGCGGTGGGCACAGGGGCCAGTCTCAGCCCATCCTCTGTGCCCCTGCTTGGTCCCTCCCACCCTGGCCCCCGGTCCCCTGTCTGCTGGCAGCCCCACTCCCGCCACCGCCACCGCAGCTGACGGCACCAGCCCCGCTTGCACCCACTGCTGGCACCAGACCTAATCCGCACCATCAGTGGTGTGAGCAGTGGCTCCAGCACTGGCAGTGGGTGCAAGTGGGGCTGGCACTGGCAGCAGGTGGGAGCGCCCGGCAGGACCACGGCACGCAAAGAATTTTCAGTAACCACCAGAGGCTTGCCCCAATGACAGTGACCAGCACCCCGCCGTGGTCTGGTGCCCCTGCTCACCTGCTCCACCATCCTGCTGCAGCCAATGCCCGCCATGCTCCGCGTGCCCCCTGGTGGTCAGTGCACATCATAGCGACCGGTTGTTCAGTTGTTCTGCTGTTCCATCTATTTGCATATTAGGGTTTTATATATGTAGATGGTTGTTATCATGATTATGTATCCTTTGGGAAACATATGGGGGTCTCAGTGGCTGAGAGAGCTATACCCAGGAGGAGGAGCCCTGAGTTCAGTGACCCCATCTTCCAATTGTCTTTCAACTATGATTACTCACTGTAATAAAGAGAAAAGGTGAACAAACAATTAAGGTGGTACTTCCCAGCCCTGCTGGTTAAACCTCCCGACAGCTACAGATGAAGGGGTTCCTAAGAGGGGTTTCTGCTGGGCCAAAGAAGCTCACAAAATACAGGTTTACCGATTATGTTGTTGTGAGTTTACGTATGAGACCAGCTGTCCCCAAATGAAACATTTAGAGCTATAGTCACATTTATTAGCACAGAATTGATTTACAAAACTCAAGGAGGGCACGGAATTCCTATGAACTGTAAATTAGTAAATTGCTTTTTAATCTACCATAAAAGATCACTGAAAAGTCCTTTTAAAATCAAAGGTCTGCTAATTCAATCATGAACACATTTGCCCAATGGTGCTCAAGGCAAGAGGAAATCTTAAATGCTGTGCAATTACCATTTAAGACATATAATTTAAGGAATGATTTAAGTTTAATTACAATATTGAATGCAGATATATGCTATTTTGAGGAGACATTGGCCTTGACACTAATATTTGCTTTCAAAATATTTTTTGAAATATTGCATTGTGTGCTTTCTGATCAGACCTACTTCTCTGTGAGCCACAGAAGACAACAGTGAAAACGGCTGTCCTTTTGGGGGCAGAGTGTGTGCTCCCTAAGCTTCAGGGTAGAGAGAGGACAAGAGAAGAAGAGGTTGAGTTAACAGGGAGTAGGGAACTGCAGGATACACACTCCATCAGAAATAGGATTTGTTCTAGTTCAACAATATGCCCTCATGTTACAGATGCAGAAACGGAGACACAGAAAGGTGAGGTGATTTGCTAGCCATCAGTTAAGGCCCAAAGTCAGAACTAAAACCCAGTCCTTCCTCTTAATTCACCAGCTCTCAAATTCGAACGTGCTTAGAAATTATCTGGAGATCTTCTCGGTATGGCGATTCCTGCCCCTTTCATTTTGACTCTGCAGGACTGAGGTGCAGTTGCATCTTTAACAAATTCAGGCGATATGAATGCAAGTGGGTCCAGAGATCACATTTTGAGAAATTCTGCTCTAGATCAAGTGTCTTATGGCAGATGCTTTTCAATTTATGAAGCTATTCAGCTAATCAATCCAGAAGTGAAAGCCCTTTGAAAAGTTGCACAAATGCACCTGCAATATTCCCGGGCTGGTAAACGTTGCTCCTCAGTACACATTTCTACTCACAGGAGGACCTGGGAGCAGCATCCTTACCAGGGTGCTGGGTAGAATTGCAGAACCTCAGGCACTACCACAGACCACACAGACCAAATAAGTCAAATCTTCATGTTAACCAAGTCCTTCGGTGATTTTGAATGCACAGCAAAGTTTGAGAAGCACTGATGCAAGGTCCAGGAGCCTGCTCTGGTTATCTATCGCTGCATAATACATTACCACAGTACCTTGCAGTATACAAACACAACAATACTATTTTCTCTCATGATTTTATGGTTTAGGACTCACCTGGACAATTTGTTCTCTTCCATGGTGATCAGCACAACCAGAACTGGGGCCTCGCATCTCCTTTATACGGCATATTCTGGGGCTGGAATGTTCAATATGGTGCCTTCATTCACATGACTGGAATTTGGGCTGAAATGGGTGGAAACTGGGATGTGGAAAGCAATGTTCTATTTTCATGTAAGGTGGTCTCAGGAGAGTCAGACTTCTTACCCAGCAGCTGACTTCCCCTAGGGTGAGGGCTCAGACACTGGTCATGAGCCACACAGCCCACCCACATTCCAGGGGAGGAAACATGGACCACAATTCTCTGTCTCTAACTTACCACAGAGCTTACTAGCAGTGCAAGGGAAATGCTTAGGGTTGTGAAGCACCTTGAGCCAGTCTATCATCAAAGAGCCAGACTGTGAGGTCCAAACTGCAAATAACATGAGAGGTGAGAAAAAGGGAGATTAGTTGGGAAAGGCTTTCCAGGAGGAGTTGGGACTCAAATTGGTTTTAAAAGCATGAATAGAGGCTGGTCAAGGAGAAAGAAAGGAAACGGGCATTCCAAAATAATCTCTAGTAACCCTTCGCTTACTTTTCTTATTCACTCCCAGTTTGTGCTGCTGCTAAAATATTCTGCTTTGGTGCCTTGGGCTAGTTTGTTTTTGCAACCTCCACCCTTCCCGCCCCGACCTCTCACGCTATACACACACACACACCACTCCACTCTGGGCCTTAGGTTTCCACCACACTGTAAAGATACCCATGTTGTTGTCTTCTCATAGCAACATTGTGTGAGTTTACAAAGCAGAAACTGCTTTTCAGATTAAAGTTTCCAAAGAAATCTGAAATTGGCCACAGCCTCACCACCACACCAAGTATTCAAAGAAATCAGGCAGCTTTGAACAATACCAGAGAAAGTGGTTTGCTCAAATCTGAGTCATTTCCTGTCTAGAAAGGATAGATCGTTCTAGGCCTTGCTTTTCCTCTGCTCTAAGTGGGAACATTCAGATTTTGCATAGGAAACCCAGTCCCTGGAAGGATACTTGGATGCAGAGAAGCAGCCCGAAGTATGTGTACAAATAAGCAATTTTTTAAAAAGCAGGAAGCCAAAGGAACATAAAGCATGGTCCCAATTACATAAAATGTTAAAATACTAGAAGTAATGCCATAACGTTAACAGTTGTGAAAATATGCATGATTTTTTTCCTCTTTTCCATATTTCAGTAAGTTTTTCACAATGAACATGGGCTATTTTCATAATCATAACAACATGCCTGATCAAAAGATGTATTTTGATTTTCAAAGAATGTTCTAGGAACCCTCACATAGCAATGGATTCTTCAAAAACACAGTTTTCACAAACTCTGTCACAAATCCTTCTAGAAGCCCACATACAAGTATTTGCCCTGATAAATGCCAGTTCTGTTCTTCAAGATTTACTTGTCAGGAAATCAAGACACACAGAATGAGTTATTTCAGAAGGAAATGTTCCAGGATTCTGGAAACAGATGATGCTTTCTTTCAATCCGTTGTCATTCTTCTCCTTCACTAAGATATTGTCGTCATCACTCTGGCTTTAACGCAGCTTGACAGTAGCCGCATTTTGGTGTTGGTCTTCATCTCTTTGGGTAAAAGTCTGTGGATTGAGGCTCAGCTCATAGCTGTTTTTATACTAATCAGACACGGGGACTAAATTAGAACAAGAATGGGTCCGAGGTGGGATAATGTGAAGCCGACCGCCTCCCAGCAGGCATTTTATGCTCAGGACCTCATTCTCATGAATGCTGACTAGGCCATTGGCCCTCACTTTTATAGGCCAGAGGGCTGTTCACTCCCTATCATAACCTATTGGCAGCATAACCCTTCGCTTACTTTTCTTATTCACTCCCAGTTTGTGCTGCTGCTAAAATATTCTGCTTTTCAGCTGCCATTATCAGTGTCAAAATCATCCCTAGTCTAAGGCACCAACCTTCCCAGAGCAGAAACCACAGACTCAGCAGCCAGGATGTCATCAGCATACCCAAGATTACATCATCTCCTTCTGCCAACCTTAATACCACTATGGTAACCATCAACAGCAATAGCCATGATTATTTCAGTAGAAATATTGAACAGATGTGACAGCCTTGTCAAACTCCTTTGCTGGTGTCCAACCACTCTGCTATACCTTTTGCAAGTCTAAAATCTCTCTTCTGGCCATAATAGAGACAGCGTGCGCTGACCTCCCATGTGGGAAACTATGCCTGTAGCATCAATTGGCATCTCAAATACCAACTACCAACACCAACTTATACATATAGCCCGCCAGTCACATTCTTCTTTTTTGACTCTCAGAACAGCTGAGCCTGCAGTGGAATAACTTGAAGGAGCACTGGATTTCCTTTCGGAAGTTTTGCATTTCTAGGTCCTTACTACCTATAAACCTTGAGCAAGTCACTTTGAACTTGTTTCTTGTCAGTAAAATACCTACCTCTTTTCAACTCAGTTTGATAATTAAATGAAATGGTACATTTAAAAATAACAAATTAGGAAAATAGGTAAACAAATACTTGTGCATGCTTGTTCATAGTAGCACTATTCACAATAGCCAAGAGATGAAAGCTACCCTACTGTCCATCAACAGATGAATGGATACACAAAATGTGATATGTGATACAATGGAATGTTGTTCAGCTATAATATGGAATACTGTATATACATGGTACCTTGTGGATGAACCTAGAAATACTGGTACATGCTGCATCATGAATGAACCTAGAAAACTTGTGCTAAGTGAAAGAAGCCAGACGTAAAATGTCACATGTTGCAATGCTTCCATTTATATAAAATACCCAGAATAGGTCAGTCTATAAAACAGAAAACAGATTTGTGCTTGTGAGGGGTGGAGGGGAGATGGGAGAGACTGTTAAATGGATATAGGTTTTTGGGGGGTGATGGAAATGTTTTGGAAGTAGGTTGAGGTGGTGGTAGCACAACATTGTGAATGTACTAAATATCACTGAATTGGTCACTTTAAGGTGATTAATTTTATGTCATATAAATTTTACCTAAATAAATAAAAGTTATAAATAAGCACCTGAAAGTCCTAGTTAGTATATCCCAGAGATAAAACTGTCTCAGAAAGATTAAGTGACAGATGAAAGGACAAACACTTAAAAAACAAAACAAGCAAATCAAAACAACATAAAACAAGAAATGTCCTCTGAGACTAGAATTCTGGTCTTCTGATGCACCAGATAGGTCTCCCTTCTGCCATTACTGCTATCCTCTTCTGCGTGTGGGAATCGCCGATTTAGCATTTAAGATCATTCTCTGCTCTGAATTTCTGCCTGTTGCCTAATCCAGTCCACCTACTGCATTTTCCCTCTCCCCCGCCCCTTGTTAATTCACAGTGATACTAAGACAAAGTGATAATCTGACCTAAAGATTGGGGTCTTTGGAAAACCAGAAGAGCTTCTCTATCTCTGTATCTTCTTTATCTAAAGAGAAGGTTCCTGAATGCCTAGTGGTTCTCTGAGAAGCTAGGGAGCTTTGCTACAAATATATTAGCTTGGGCCCCATCCCCGTCCAATTAAAGCAGAATCTGTTGGTCCTTTGGAGCCATACAAAATAATACGAATGTTTCAAATGCAAAGTCTATCTTCCACATCATGTGCAGCTCTTCAAATGTCTGACTCCAGGCACTGTGTCCACCCATGTCTTCTCCCTAGTAATACTTGTTGCCTTAAAGTCTATTTTGTCCAGTAATAATGCAACTACCAGCTTTCTTTTTCTACTCTTTTTTAACATGTAACCAGCCGCTGGTAGTCTTGGTGTGGATATTCACGTTCTGTATCCCAGACTCCAGCCAGTTCTCCTTGCCCTCTAGCAGCTTGCGGTAGGTAGCAATCTCCACGTCCAGGGCCAGCTTGGCATTCGTGAGCTCCTGGTACTCACACAGCTGCTGGGCCATGTCCTGCTTGGTGTTTCTCAGAGCGGCCTCCAGCTCAGCCACCTTGAACTGAGCATCCTTGATGGCCAGCTCCCCATACTTCCCAGCATCGGCGATGGTGGCCTCCAGGGAAGTCTTCTGGTTTTGAGACCCTCAAGCTCAGCCTGGAGTCGACTGATGTTCCGGTTTGTTGTAATAAAATAAAGAAATGTTTAAAATGCTTAAAGAATGTTAGAAAAGTTTTAAAAACTTTGGGTTAACTTTCCTTAAAACTTAAAGCGTGATATTAAGAACACATTCCCCACTGCCTTGAGGTGTGTGTACCCCAGAGATAAGGGTTTGAACTGACTCAGAGTGACTTGTCAAGATAAACACTTGCATGAGTGACATACTCTCCTTAGCCCCCTTGCCTTGTTTGAAATTAACATATGTGCATTGATGTAAATCACTGATAGCCACCTGAGCTGCTATGGGTATGAACAAGCTTTAAATATGGACCCCCGGCCAGCTAACGATGCTCGCCTGTCAAGACAGCTACAAAGGCCCACCCCTTTGTCGGTCTGACAAGCAACACTACACGACATCACGCTCCTCTCCCTGCCAGACGACAGAAGAACGGCTAACAACCCCCGATTGAGATGTGACCGAGCTCTCAGGTGAGAAACACCAGACCCCCTGCGCCTGGATCAGACCAGCCCAGCTGCTGGACCCCAGAGGACAGCACCATGGGGATCCCTAACTAAGTTTGTACCCACAGCTCAGGAATTTGTGTGAGTAATAAAAAAAGCTGTGTGATTTGCAACTGCATGTTTCATGTGGTGTGATTCCTGCTGTAGTTAATTGAACTATTTTGCATACGCTTAAAATTTAAATTAAAGCCTCTGGTCTTCGTTGGTCCTAAAGCCTGCCACTCTGGTCCTGCTGGCGTAGAGCAGACTCTTCGCTAGCAACTACTTAAATGTCCCACACCTGCACGGTTAAAGTATATCTCAAGGGATGCCTTAGATCAGGGGTGGGCAAACTTTTTGACTCGAGGGCCACAATGGGTTCTTAAACTGGACCGGAGGGCCGGAACAAAAGCATGGATGGAGTGTTTGTGTGAACTAATATAAATTCAAAGTAAACATCATTACATAAAAGGGTACAGTCTTTTTTTTCAATAGTTTTATTCATTTCAAACGGGTCGTATCTGGCCCGCGGGCCATAGTTTGCCCACGGCTGCCTTAGATAAACACCCCAGATCCTTTCCCAGGATCTACTTGGACACGGTTCATCTTAGAAATCTCAGTCTTCATGTGATGCAGGTCATCCCCATGCTTTCCAACCAACATCTGCAGCTCCTCATACTTGATCTAGTACATGGTTTCAGCCTCAGCCCAACTCTGGTTTGTGATGTCCTCATGCTGGGCCTTGACCTTGAAGTCCAGAGAGCAGTTGTTGTCCATGATTAGCACCACAGATGTGTCCAAGATCTGGGACTGCAGTTCACAAATGTC